CAGAAAAAAAAGGGACTGGCTTAAGAGCAGCCTGCTGGTTTTGTGCCAAAGGTGGATGTAGAACTCACAGTCTCTTGGTGCGGTAACTTCTGTCTTTACTGTTTAGTTCACAAAGATGTAATAACTGCTAATACCGGTATAATTTTCTTCTATGAACCAAGTCATTATAGATTATAAACCAACTCCAAGCACTGATGAACAGTTTTCCATGGTCTGCATTAGTGGTGGGTTGCAGGCGGTACGCCCTGGTATAGGTGTACCGGAGCCTACCCGGAGCACTGGGTACTGTTCCGGTACGCTGCTCCGGAGGGCCCATCCGCCTACCTGAGCACCTTACCATGTTTTAAAGCTGTCGGCACTTCCACGCACGCACATGATGCATACAGCGCCTGTGTGACGCTCCGCCGAGCAGCTGAAGCATTGTGGAGGCTTGCGGAAGTGTTGTTTGCAGCTACAATGCAGGTGCACACGCCGCGCTTGTGAATGTAGGTAATGCCGGGGCTGTTCCAACCATACCGGTTGGAACAGAATCCGGAACCCACCACTGGTCTGCATGAATGTTATTGATCAACACCTTAATGATACAGCAACATTTCCCTTTTAGAAGGAACTAGGAGGTTTGATAAATCAACCTAAAAAACCCCTTTAAAAGGAGGAATTCTTGCTTTTTGCAGTGCTGTATCAAAAAAGGACAAACAATGGAAAGCAGGAAAGCAAGTAGAGTAAAGCTCAAAGCAGATAAGGATGGCTGTTTGTACTGAATGATTTTGCTATCTCGGAAGTAATGGGACACAAATTGGAGTCTACAACTTCTACTCCTTAATTCAGTGTTTAAGTTAGACTTCAATTATCTGTGGTGGCGTAGTGGTTAAGAGTGCAGTATTGCAGGGCTGCCTGCAATTTAACAATTCACCAGGCTCAAGGTTGACTCGGCCTTCCATCCTTCCGAGGTGGGTAAAATAAGGATCCAGATTGTTGGGGGTGGTGGTAGTGGTGGTAAGAGGCTGACTCTATAAACCGCTGAGAGAGGGCTGTAAAGCGCTGTGAAGAGATATGTAAGTCTATGTCCTAATGCTATTGCTATCACTCACGCATGACAATTTATTAAATGTTATTAACTCTTACTACTCACATACCTGAATTTTTTAAAGTAGCATGGGAAGCTATTTGATAGAGACCAGGTTAATGCATAAATAAATTGCAGTATGGTTTAGTTTCCATACTGTGTCTTGTGAGTCCAGCTATTATGCTTTTTAAACAATTGCACTGAGCCATAAAAAGTACAAGTCCAGCCACTGTGGCTTAACCAAGAAAATATTATTTACGATGATTTGGAAAGCTCTTAGTTTTCCCTTCTAAACTGATATATTCCAAGTGAATGTACTGTATACTGATAAGGGGGCAATCACAATTTCAATGCAGTCAGTGGGTTTTGTGGCTCTAATCTCTGCTTGAAGATAGTCTCATATTTAGGTCGCAGGATACTTGCAAGGCTGACAGTAGAACCGACTCATTTATTCCACAGGTGGCAAGTGAGGCTATTGCTGGTATGGTAAACAATACTTAATAGTCCAATTCATCCAGACCAGTGATGGGTTCTGGATCCCGTTGCAACCGGTACGGTTCAATGGGGCCGGGCGTTCACCACATGCACACCCGCAGCCTGTGCATGCGTACTTACAACCCGCGATGCTCTGTGATGCTCCAGTTGCTTGGCTGAGCATCGTGCAGGCACCGTACACTCCGGGCATGTGCGTGGAAGCTCCAATAAGCTCAAATACAGGTAAGGAGGGTGGGTGGGCGTGCCCTCCAGACCACCGTACCAGAACAGTACCTGGTGTTGCCAGCAGGCACCAGTACGCCCATACCGGTCGTATCCTACCACTGATTCAGACCCCCCAGTACACAAACAGAAAAATACAAGTAGAAATTCTACGAAGGACCGAGTTTGCACATCATCTTGAGCCATGTTTTTTGTGTGTACCCAAATCATTGTGGATTGTTAACTATGGTTTATGAACAGTATACTGTGCAAGTCAGTCTAATGGTGATTTTACCCCCAATAAATCATTATTACTCAAACCAAAATTTAACATAACATGCAATGTGCAACAATTCAGCCATTCCTGAACATTTGATGCAAGTTTAGTATTGGATGGTGTTTTTCCAGTTGTGAGAAGGGGGGGCTCCTCACTTGAGGGTCTCCTCAGAACTGTAGCCAAGAACAGATATGAACACTTCTCCAGGATACAAGGGGGTGAATTCAACTACCCACCGCCAGAAAATTGGCCCACTCTCCACAGCCTTGGTCGAAATAGGAGAGGACATGTGCAGCTGACACTAAGATTGGAAGGACCTTAATCAGTTTCTCCTCCTTTGCTGTCAACCTGCCATTTGGCTCCTAACAAGGAAGAGCCTCCCTCATACAGGCATGCACTCAGTGGTGGGATTCCATTTTTTTTACTACTGATTCTGTGGGCGTGGCTTGATGGGCATGGCAGGGGAGGTTACTGCAAAATCCCCATCCCCTCCAGATCAGCTGGGACTTGGGAGGCAGATAATAGATGGGGACGGGGCCAGCCAGAGGTGGGATTTACCCGTTCTTCGAATTACTCAAAATTTCCGCTACTTGTTCTCCAGAACTGGTCAGAACCTACTGAATCCTACCTCTGCATGCACCGCTCACTAAGAGTAAACTGCTAGAATGTTCTTTGTGCTTTGCCTAAATGCAGACTCACAAGAGAAGGCAACACATACGGACCATGCCAACCAACCGTGGGGGGTGGGGGGTATAATCATAGCCTGGATCATAGAGATTGGCAGAGTTCCTAACTTGAGGTTGCCCTAGTATGGTTTGGATGGCAACTTTTGCCACGTACAGCTCTTGCTCCCAATGCATCCGAACAGCAGGAAATAGGCAAAACTACCCAGAACACCACATAGCGTTTTTCTTACTGCTAGGAAGGAAAAAAAACAGCCCACTCCAAGCATTTTCCAAAACAAAAGTATTTCCTTCATACTGCAAATACAGTACAACTACAATTATCATGAGAACTACATTCTAGACATTGACACATACTCCTACACAGGTACAGAGGAAATATATAGTTGCACCAAGCCAAAAAAATAAAAATAAAATACATTCAACAGGTTTAGACTTCAGCCACATCTCCAGGAGCTCCATGTTCATGAGCAAAGAAATATCCCAAGTAACTCCGCATTCTGGGACCTGCAGGCTCACAGGACTGTTTCTTGTTCCATAAAAACTGCAAGGGGGTGGGGGACTACATACCATATTTTTCAGAGCATAAGGCACACCAGGACTTTGAAGAGGCAAATTTAAAAAAAAGTTTTTGCATTCTGCAGACCTCCCCAAAAACAGCCTGTTTTTCGTGAAAACAGGCCTGTTTTCTTTAAAAAAAAAATGGCCGTGCATAGCCTTTAGGAGGCTTATAGTGCTCCTGGGGGGTGGGCAAAAGTGAGCAAAAAACAGCCTGTTTTTTTGCTAATTTTTGCCCTCCCCAGTCCCCAGGAGCACTCTATAAGCCTCCTAAAGGCTATGCACGGCCATTTTTGCAAAGGGGTGGGGTTTCTGGAGGCAAAAAATTGCTGTATTCAGTGTATAAGGCGCACCCAGATTTCCAGCCTCTTTTTTGAGGGATAAAGGTGCGTCTTATACTCCAAAAAATACTGTAGCTTTCCATTACACCACTTTGTACATCCTTGTTTCTATTACCAGAGTTCATGGGAAGCTCTTAGTCTAAAGTTTGGTTGCTGCACAAACCCAAGGGAGATGGCTTCCTGCCTCGGCTCATTTTCCTTACCAATCAGCTCTGCAGGAGGGAGGAAATGGTGGGTGCACTCCGACTCCTTCAAGGATCCTGTATAACTCACCATCTGGATTCTCCTACCAGGTAAAGCAACCTTTCTGAAAAGTCCCCAGCTATGTGGCCTCTAGGCTCCCAGAAAGCCAAGAATGATTGTATGGAAAAGATTGCGGCAAAGCAAAGCAAAAGCTGAGTTTTCTTAAAACACATTGAAAGTTGGATGCTTAAGGCACTTCTCAGGAGGAAGAGGATGTATTTCAAATGCTAACAGAGTTGCAGGCTGTCATGTGCTTTGGGCTTATCCAAATTAATATTCTGTGAGTGTTGCAAAAAAAGGATGTCTGCTAATCCAAGGAGAATTACCTCCCCATACCCATTCCACTCTAATGTAAATCCAGAAATGTGGGCTGCTTAGCAGGACATGAGCCCCTTCCCCCTTTCTGACTACTGAGAGGATGCTAAGGAAAGCACCTCATGCAACGGGCCCGCCATGAAGAGGCTCCTGCTCAAAGGACAGAAAATAAAAGCCCAGTCAAAAGGATCTTTGGCATAATCCAGATGTGCAGAGATGACAAAACTCTTTACAGTGAAGTCCTCCAATTTAATATACACCAGTCTGGGATCTATTTGGACAGTCATTACCATGTAAATAAATGCACTTCTACTAAAAACTGAATGTAATCACTAAAATGTACTTCTGTGATATTTGGATTACCCCAAGCAGTGGTGGGTTGCAGGTGGTATGCCCTGGTACGGGCGTATTGGATCCTGCCTGGAGCACCAGATATTGTTCTGGTACGGTGCTCTGGAGGGCGCACTCGCCCGCCCGAGCTCACCATCTTTTGAAGCTGTTGGCGCTTCCACGCACACGGCACAGCGCCTGCGTGACGCTCCGCAGAAGCAGTTGGAGCATTGCAGAGGCTTGTGGAAGCGTCGTTTCCAGCTAAAACGCATATGTGTGCTGCACGCGTGCATGTGAGTGACGCCAGGGCTGTTCTAACCATACCAGTTGGAACAGGATCCGGAACCCACCACTGACCCCAAGGTACAACATTTACTCACTTCCCAAATTATACTTGTGTGGCTGGAAGTGTGGGCTGGGGAACAGAAAATTATTACCTATTTTTTATTTTATTTTATTGTGCGGAAAGGAGCATTTCAAAAAATTACAAGTGTTTTTGAGCCACCTTTTATTATTTCTGAAAATACTGACCCTGCTGTAAATATTGCCTCGAGTAAGGCACTAAATCATAATATACAAGGATTCAGAGATACAGTCAAACCATTTCGGAATGAAAAAGTGGAAAATGGAGCATAAAAAAAGAAAAGAAAAAAGAGAGAGGCCTTTTAGCCTGGTTTCACGAAGAATCCCCTCCTCTGGGACTGAAGCGGCTGTCCTCAGGCTTCCTCCTCCAAAACTGGACAGTGGACATTATTCCTTAGCATGACGCATGAAAATGACACCCCCTAAAACTTTGCAAGACATCTCATCAGACAAGACATGAACATTAAAGGAAAAAAAAATCTAAGTGCAGGCACGTTGTGAAAGTCTTTTTGTCTGGATTTTTTTTCTCCAGTTCTGGAATGTTTTACAAAAATGGGACATTCATATTAGAAGGAAAACATGGAGAGAAAGTTTCCCTTCACCTCTTGGAGGCTCAAAGATTTCGAGGAAACCAGAAACTTTGGGAAATTTAATACTCAAAACATGGCAGCACCATTGCCCGTCTTCTGCAGAAATGGTGGACTCGGGCTTGGAAAGGCATTATGGATATCCCAAGAGCTAACAAATTTCTCTTAAATACAAACTTTTTAAAAAATATTGTCATTTTAAAAATGTAGTGCATTTAAGACCTTGGTTTTACTTTCATCCAGCTGCTACCAGATCCAGTATTTTTTTTTAAAAAAAGGTAAGGAAAACAATTCTTAATCTAATTTAATAATTTTGGAACAAAGTATAAGTTAAGCTGTTCATAACTTTGAGAGTAAAGTATATACACAAATAACAAAAAAAGGTTCCTTTATGAGATAGTAACTGTAATTTCTATCTTAAAAAAGTATCTGAAGAAATTATTCTTGCTATGTCTTCAGCATGTTCTTTTCAGATAAGATACTCCACCATTTCTGCATCTTTGAGGTCCTGCCCCAAATTCTGAGGTGGGTTTTTCCTTTCTAGGGTGCTGGAATGGAAAATGGAGCCATCTGCAGATAACAGAAGAAGAATGCAAAGTGTCACCATGATTAAACGTAAAAGGAATGGTGAGAAAAGTACTCTTGAAATCAACAGGCAAAACATTCATCATTTATGACCAGGTTTCACTGGCTGTCTATGATCTAGCCAACCCTTTGAACATAAATGTCAATTGTTGGGAAGAGGTGGTCAAGATGGGTGTGGCTTTACTTGGACACCCTTAGTATGAGGTTCAATCAGAATAGAGAGTTGGAAGGGACCTTGGAGGTCTTCTAGCCCAACCCCCTGCTCAAGCAGGAAGCCCTGTACCATTTCAAATAGGTGGCTGTCCAGTCTTTTCTTAAAAATCTCCAGTGATGAAGCACCTACAACTTCTGAAGGCAAGCTGTTCCACTGGTTAATTGACCTCACTGTTACAAAGTTTCTCCTTAATTCCAGGTTGCTTCTCTCCTTGATTAGTTTCCATTCATTGTCTCTTGTCCTGCCTTCTGGTGCTTTGAAGAATAAGTTGACACCCTTTTCTTTGTGGCAGCCCCTCAAACACTGGAATACTCTTATCAAGTCACCCTTAGTCCTTTGTTTCTCTAGACTGGCCATACCCAATTCCTGCAACCATTCTTCATAGGTTTTTGTCTCCAGGTCTTTAATCGGCTGTTCTTCTTTGCACTTTTTCCAAAGTCTCAACACTTTTTTTGTAATGTGGTGACCAAAACTGGGTGCAGTACTCTAAGTGTGGCCTTACCAAGGATTTATAAAGTGGTACCAATGCTTCATGTGATTTTGGTTCTATGCCTCTATTTATACAACCCGGGATTGTATTCGCTTTTTTGGCTGTTGCCACACACAGCTGGCTACTGTTCACTAAGACTCCAAGGTCCCTCTCACAGTCACTGTTTTTGAGCCAGGTTTCACTAATCTGTACTTGTACGTTTGGTTTTTCCTGCCTAGGTGTAAAACCTTTTATTTTTCTCCACGTTAAATTTCAGGTTGTTGGATAGGGCCCATTGTTCAAGTCTGTCAAGATCTTTTTGAATCCTGAGCTTTTCTTCTGGGGTCTTGTCTATTCCTGCCAGCTTGGTATCATCTGCAAATTTGATGAGTTCCCCTTCTATTCCCTCACCTAAGTCATTGGTTTGGCAAGATCTTTTAACAAACCCGTGCTGGCTACTAATTATAACTTTCTTTTTTGCTAGATGTTCACAGATCTGTCTGCACCCCCTCCCCCGCCCCAAGTATCTTCCCAGATATGACATTAGGCTGATCGGTTTGCAGTTTCATGGGTCTGTTCCCACCACTCCTTTTTTGAAGATGGGAACCACATCAGCTCTTTTCCAATCCTCTGGTAGTTCCCTGGTGGTCCAGAATTTTTGAAAGATGTGGTTGCCACCAACAAAGAGGATGCGGGAGGTCGTGCAATGAGGGGGAGGGGGGGAGCTGACACTCTCGTGCTTGACCTCTTGGAAGGGCTTCAACACTAAAACAACAGGGTTGGCTGACTGACGCCTGAGGCTTGTGTGGCTCTTGCTCGCTCAGTCCTGCCAATTTTCTGTGGCTTTGTCAAAACCAGAAACCATGGCAGCTTCCAAAAGTCACATCCTCCAGTTGGAATGGAACTACAGGGACTTCTCATTATCTACTGTTTGAAGTTATGCCAGTGATGAGAGAGGAACTTTGCAATCCATCCTCACATTTACGATCTTCTTAGGTCCACAAAGCAAAGGAAAGCTGAAGTCCAATCGTAAGCACAGATGCGCTTTGTCTTAGTGACCACTTTTGCTTAATGACTGAGTTGGTTGTCCCAATTTTGCTTGCCTAGGCGAAGATGACCTGCACAATTCCCAGACAACCAGGAAGGCCAAGAACTCTGGGGTCCCAATACATACGGGGGATCAGCAGTGCATGTGCGGCCAACTCTGTCATCACCTCAGTGCTCCTCTCACACTGGCATTTCTTGACCGAAAGTGTGAAGCTCAGATTCCCCGGAGGGAGGGGCTGCATTCCAGAGGACCAAGAGACAGGGAAGGGCAGAGAGTTTGGTTGGAAGAGGTTGGAGGCGGCTCCTCCCCCCATGAGTTTTCAGAGTCTGCCTCTAATGATGCAAGCCCTTAGCATTAGTTTGGCAAGGTCTACAGGCGAGGAACAATAACAATAGTGCTTAGAAAAAAACTCCATGCCCCCTTCTCTCTGTTTTTGGGCCTCAGGACCTAAACACAGAGAGGAGACGACACTGGCTGGTTTGCTTGACCTCTGCCGTGTCCAGTGCTGGAGACCCAACTGAGAGTAACACTCCTCCGTACCTGATTTGTCTGCCCCATAGGCCAGATTCATCATTGGGAGTCTTCCTGGCGTGGGGGGCGCAGGGGAGGTGGCAGGGGGCTTGCTCTGCTCACTGCCCCGGTCCGTCTGAGTACTGCAGTCCCGGCTGCCCGTTTTTGAGTGCACCGAGAGCAGCGGCGTGGAGGGAAGAACCGGTGAGGGTGTGGAAGGAATGGACTCCGAGCGGCATTCTGTTCCCAGCAGAACACCTGGCAGGGAAAGAAGGGCAGGTGGTTACTTGGGAATTTGGCTCTGCCATGGGACGGGGCCTGGTTGCTGACTCTGCCCATTCAACCCTCCAGGGAACCCACTTTACCAAGCAAGCATGGGCAGGACTGGTTCACACACAACGCAGAAACAGCTGCACCTCACGCCAAAGAGCCCCTGCCACAAGCAGGAAACTCACAGAGCCAGGACTGAGAAAGGAGGCAGGTTTGCACCTACTGGTTGTGTCAATTGCAACCTGCAAGCAGAGCTGAATTCCACATCGGCAACCTCTAAGGAGTCAGGTAGCCATCAAATGGGCTTTAAACCTCCTTTTTATCCTCAGAGTCTTTCAACTTATCTTTAACTTTCCAGATGCCAGAAGCCCCTTTCAAAATCTTTTTAAATTTTAAATCTTGCAAGTAGCATCATTAAAAATATTATGGGTAGTAGGAAAAAGATCAGTAGCAATATAGATGAGTTACAGATTACACTGCTCTCCATGTAATTATATACACATAGATTTCCTTCTCCTTTTAGGCTTTTTTACTTGATTAACATTAAATAGACATTTATTGGAAAAAATTAGGTCTGTAAATTTGGAATGATTTACTCAATCTACATGGAACAAAATTTTGTGGCCAATAAAAGCAGGCAGGTCTTCCCTTTGGCTGCCAGAGGTCTGCATGTCCCAAATGGCAGATCTGACCATCTGGGGAGGATGTAACATTTCATAACAAATAATGTTAATGGAAGTTAGAAACTAAACATGTACTTAATAATGTGTTCAGCACATTTTTTTGTGATTGGTGATTTTAATTAAATTTCATTTACGCTCCAAGATCAAACATATTAGGAGATTGGTCTTTAAATAATAACAGAGTGAAGATACTGCGAGATTTAAAAGGCATGTAAAAATCATTTCTTTCTTTCTGGTTAAAAATTACTCTTCTGCTTCTATGGTTAACTTTTCCTCAGTAAAATGCGGAGCACTCCCTGTATAACTCTTGCAATTTCTACTTATTGATAATCTTCCCCCCCTCCCCCCTTTGGCTTGTCTATTCAAAGAAAATTAAGCAGTCACCTAAGCTGCCTTTCCAGCTCTTCTCCTCCCTCTTGTCCTCCAGGATGGGAGTGCTGCTGAGGGTGGAGGAGTGGGAGAGCAGGCCAGAGCCAGCGTTGGAGATGGAGATGAGGGACTTGGCTGGCCGCATGGAAGACAGCTGGTCAGTCTTGCTGGCCTCCTTCCGGGACCGCTGCTGAAGGACCTTGATCATGGCATCCTTCTCAATGATCTGAGCGTGAAGAGTCTTGATTCTGAGGGGGGAGAAAAAGACAGTCTGCTCATTTCAGCCACCCCCATCCCCTGTTTTTCAGACTACAGAACTGTGATGGTGAACCTATGGCATGGGTGCCACAGGTGGCACTCAGAGCCCTCTCTGTGGGCATGTGAGCCATCCCCCAGCTCAGCCCTATTGCGCATGTGCCTCCCACTGGCCATCTAATTTTTGGGTCCCTGCTGCGAATGCATGGGGGGGCGCATGCAGGAGATGCATGCGCATATATGGGGGGCAGGGGGGTTGTGCATGCATGCATGGGGGACAGGGTGAAGTGTGGGAGGTACAGCATTCCCCCTCCCCGCAGCCCATTTTTGGTCCCAGGAGGCTGCAGGGAGGCCTAGTAGGCCCAAAATGGGGTTCGGGGGTGGGGAGGTTGTGCGTGCATGCGCAGAGGGCAGGGTGTAGAGGGGTGTTGCACGCACACTGCATTATGGGTGCGGGCACACTTTTGGCACCTGACGACACTGCTATAGAAGTTCTTGCACAGATTCAGAAAACTGGGCCTGTTGAAGGCATGGGCTAGTTGGCCAGAGGCCTGAAGCCTTCCTTCCTGTAGTGCTCTAGGCCTCCAGCCTTGTTTCTCTAGACCAGGAAAGTTGCAGATTCAGAGGNTATGAAGCGGTATATAAGTCTAACTGCTATTGCTATTGCTAAATGCCGTATATGACGCAGGGGTCACTATGGCTGGTAACTTAATTATATATTTCCATTTATGTGAAAACTCTCAGACTTTCAACCTGAATAATAAAAAACCCGGAATAATAGGAGGAAGCAATTATCTATCTTTCTGCAAATTTACAGCTTTTGCAGAAAGAAAACACTTAAGAAAAAAAATGTGTATTTAGGCTAACTGTGAAGAATAAAAACACTTCGAATGTTTGTCTGTTCATGCCATGAGTCATTGAAATGAAGATTTAAAAGCATTATTAAGCTATATGTTTGGGATTTAAAATAGGCAAGACAAAGCCTGCTTTGTTATAGTTTACAGATTCCTGAATAATATATACTGTTTTCAAAACAATTGAGTTCTCATCACCATCACCGAAAAGCCCTCTACCAAATGCATTGCAACACATCCACCAATTAGCGGAGATAATGTTAATTGGAACACTATTTGTTCTCTAATAATTATTTTTCTCTCACCCAAAGAAGTTTTCAAAACATGACTTTTGATAGAAAAGAGTTTCTTTGGCCATGGTTGGTGGAGACAGCCTCCATGCATGGGTAATACTCGTACACTGACCAATAGGACTGAGTCTGTTATCTTTAAGACCCGCCTTCTCCTGCAGCCATACCCAGGTTTGTGACTCAGTATATTGCCAAGGACAGATGTGTGAAACTTCTCTCTCCTCCTATTTGGTCTCCTTTAATTGGTCTCCTTTTGTATTTGCGTTCTTGTCTTAATATTTCATAGTCAGAAGGCTATGAGATAGAAATAGCCTGGTATCTTTATTTGATCACCACTTGACTTATCTAAAAATTCGCTTAGGTTCTGCCCTACCTCGTCTCCTGTTTGATCATCCCTCACTGTGTGCAGTTGGGCATTCCAAATTCTGTGGAACAAGAGAAGCAAGTTGCTCCAACAAGTATGCGGCCATCCTGAAATGTTTAATGTCTATCTCGGGTTCCACTGTCAGGAAAAATGGAATGTTTATTTTTACTGAAGGGTCTCTGGTGCTATGGCAATGCTCAGGCCCTATGCCTCTCCACCGGATGATGGAATCGATAAGATACGTACACTCTCTGTTACATTGCATTTAATATTATTGCTACGAATTTATCGTCATTTTGAAGACGACTTTCTCCACAGATAGATGGTAAGGATATACAGATGTGGTCTTGCAGATGTGGTCTCCCAGATCCTTCTTCCCAAATGACTGGAGACCTTAGTGTAATTCTGACACCCCCTTAAATTCCTTCTCCTACTTCTCTATCAATTCCAGAGAGTTTTTTCACCACCCTCTTGATAGTTAAAAAAATTGGTGCCATCTTAGCATCAAGCATTCCATGATTAAAGCATTGTATACAATTCTTTATTGTGTTAATATTAGCTACACAAGGATGCTAAATATGATTATGGATTGTGAAAACTGATGGGAAGAGCCAATTTGAATGAATTAGCAATGGACTGTTTAATTTTTTTGTAACAGAAGTCTAAAAAGTGCAAGCTACTTTCTTACAAATAAATGTTCCCAACTTCCTGATCTATTAACACCTGGACTAGGCATTGTAACAAACAAACAGCATAGACATTATTGACCTTCAGTTATAGCAAGCCTTATCCTTGAGAAGCCTATAAATCTTATTTCAGAAATCCTCAGCATTACAAGTCCTCGGAAAAGGAAATCCTCATTAGCCCATCTGTACTGGTGCTGCAAGATAAAGAACCTTTCCAAAGATAGCACCTACTACATACAGCATGTGCAAAAGTAAACTGGAAGCTAGATTTCCATATTACACTAAAAACCACGAACCAGCTAGGTAATCAAAGAAATACTGCTTTCTATATCCAGCCCTCCATCACACGGACTGATAAAACAATACTGCTGGCTTAAAACATTTGAGGGCATGCTTTAAATAAGACCAATAACGTTTGCTCCAAGTATAAAATTGTGAACATCCTTCAGGCATTGTGTTAAAATCGTAAGACATTTGTACAAATGAGCATAAAAGATCAGAGAAGCTACATCAAAGGAATTCTAAATTAAATATTATTAGCTAAATAGCATTTAGCCAGGAAAGAAGAAAAAAAGGAACAGAATGATAATGCAGTAGAGTGATCAGCAACCAATCTTAAAATGGGAAGCCGCAAACATTGCTCATTTGAAAGCCAAATAAGGATATTCTTTGAGAAATACATGAGCCAATGTCCCTTCGAAGTTCACATAAATAATCAGGGACGAATTACAATCTAATATACAGGTAGTCCTCAGCTTATGACCACAACTGAACCCAAAATTTCTGTTTCTAAGCAAGACAACTGACTTTTTCCCCATTTCTCGATTTTTCTTGCCACAGTTAAGTGAATCAGTGGTGTTGTTAAGTTAGTAACATCGTTGTTGAGTTACGCATTGACTTTGCTTGTCATGACACAAGAACACCGCAACCATCATAAATATGAGTCGGTTGCCAAGTCCCTGAATTTTGATCATGTGACCATGGAGATACTGCAACAGTCATAAGTGTGAAAAAATGATCCTAAGTCACTTTTTTCAACTTTGAACTTTTGCAACGTTCAAATGAGCTGTTTTGTTAAGTCAAGCTCTACCTGTACATGTCACAAGTGTTATTGTTATATATAAATGAATGACAGTGCTGAGACAGCAACTGGAAGAACAGAAAATGTGAGCCCGTTTCTGACAAAGGAAAAAATATCTATATGAAATAGTAAGATCTTTATTACGGTCAAAGACCAGCAATATACATTTGTCTTTACGCTATCTTAAAAATACTAACATTAAAATATAATTAAAAGTATTGACATTAAAAGTGGATAATAACATTATGGTCCAAAGATT